AGAGCGATTGTTTGAAGATGGTAACACTCATACCACCTGCCGCCTAAATGAATGTATTAGAGAAAGGAACCTTCAGGAAAACGATCAGCCATTTCCCTGAAGATAAGCAAATCAGCCGAGGATCTGAGCCATTTGCATAACTGGAATTGTAGTTATGGTTTGTCGTGGATGTGAGTGGTTATTGTATCGGATAAGAATGGTTATTCAGGATATTGCTTGAACTGATCAATGCGGATGATTTACAGTCTATTTGCATGTTGACGAACAGTACGGATTCATTATTTCACTTGTAATGTTAAGCGGAAAAATGAAAAGAAATTTTAAGAATACAGAAAGGAAAAGATAAAAATTAAAAAGCGGTGTTTGTGCCGGAATAATCCTTTCATTGAGATGAGGAATGTGAGAGTCTTAAGGCAACCGGGATCCTAATGGCTGATCGAAATATATTTGTGCATGATCTTATGTGCTACTCAGTTCAAGAATCTGAGTTATTTGCATGATGGAAGCCTCTGTTTTCGTTGGAGCTTATTGTCAGTCTAGTGATACGGGTTTAAGGGTTACCTTGTTGGGTTCCACGCTTCCAAATAATCGAATACCGGTCACTCTATGATATCCATACATAGCGCAATGGAATGTTCTTGATTTTCTGAGAATTATACGATCGGTCTGTTTAGCAACAGAAGCATTAGTATGTGTTTTTGATCCGTCATTGGGACTGACTGAGTTTCTTTGGACTATTAGTGTCTGTAGCTTTACACGAAAACGCCCTGAAGTTTCTGGTACCGTTGGATAGAGGAGATTCCAACCAACTGAAGTGGCTCATGTGCTCTCGGCGGAATTCGATTGCTGTTAGAATTGGAGATAAATCTCTTTTTTAGTAACAGAATCATTTATACTGTAGGATGAAACGATTAATGATAACAGATATTCCTTCAGTGATAAAATGATTGATTAGTAGAAGTTAGTTTTTTTAAGCGATAAAATTTTCTCTAAATAATTATAATATTTTCTTTGTTTCATACAGATGAGTGAACTTTTTACTGCTTGATCCTAATACTCTTATTTATGCTTTCTCTCAATTGGGATTCGTAGGGTTTCAGATGCACTTTGCTTCTTCATGTTTCCATTTACATGCCAATATTATACAACGTCCTCTCTTACACGATCATAATTGTTACCGTATGCCAACCGTTTTGACGATTAGATGAAGAAAGGGAAACGGTAGAAATAAAATGATCAGCTTTGGCGAAACATCCTTCGATTTTAGCAAATTGACGATCCTTCGTGTTGACAATGATGTGCTAATGTTTAATTTTGGATGCATATTATACTGGAAAATTTTAACTTAAGTATATTTTAAGCCTTAGTTTCGCACATCTGATAGTTCATCCTGAATAAAAGTGTTTAGATCGTTAACTTCGATTCTGGACGGTGGTCGCATGTCTTCGGCTAATGGAATGCATCAACGGAGACCACCACAAAGTCGTGAAACTGGCGATTCTGAGCCCCAGTTAAATGGTTTTGATGAGGATATGGCCCGTTTTCAGAAGATCTACGCAGAATGTTAGTCATCTTTTTCTAAATTTGCGGATGAAAACTTCTGTAATTTCACCGTTTCAATGATTTCCGTTTCATCGAACTAACCGATTCCACCAGAAAGTTGCTGAATTCATTGTTTAAAGAGTCACTGGTGAATGTAAGGAAAATGGCAATGAATTCATTGAATTTGCATCATATCTGCGTCCATAAGGAAGGATATCAGTCAGAAATTCTTAAATAAAAGCTGGAATAAACGACATCAAAATTACAAATAAATTTCAGGTGAGGTACTGGAGCCACCAGAATGGAAGAGTGGTCTTGAGCGTGGTAAAGGGGATTTTGGTAAGACGATGTTTCGACGACTATTCCACTGGGGTCCTATAATTGCAATTGCTATCACACTTTCGGTATGCATCAGTTAACTAATATTTCACATTTTTTCATCCATATTCGAAACAATGTTTGTTTCAATAGTTCTCAGCATAAAAATGCGGTGCAGTCATGTTACATGTCAGAAAAAACCAATCCTTATGGAATGCTTCCGATTTCAGGCCATTCAGTTGAAATTATTTACAAAAGTATTGTTTAAGAATTGCTTAGTGCTGCACCGTTCTGGCATCAGCAATCGTTTGTGCTCATTCATATTTGTACAATATATTTTGTTTTATTTATTTGTACAATATCCCATATTCAGAGTCACATACCATTCCGGATACTTTTGTTATTATTGTTTTCTTTACGTAATCAGACATTCATGACGGAAACATTTTGCAGATCGGTTTAACAGCAACTTATTTACATTTGCAATGGTGGCCATTGAATTCCGTTGGAGCATTTGTTCATTTGACAGTCTTCTTATATTTCAATTACTCAGTACTGTCAAATTTGTGTCGGTCGGCATTTATCGGACCCGGATATGTACCGTTGAAGTGGTCACCTCCTGAACAGGTTTCTTTTTTCTTAGGCTATCCCAAATTATGTGCATGCTTTTGTTCTGAAAAGTAGCTAATGTCGAAATATGCAGAAATGTTTCAAAAATTTAAGTCATGAATTTAAGTCATTTAAGTCAGAAATTTAAATCATAATGTCCAGTCATGAAACATATCTCTTTAGTTATATCTTCCTGAAATGTTCTTTGATTAGGTGAATTCCGAATGCTTTATTGTGAGCTCGGGGTGTCCAACAGCGAAGAATTGCTTTTAGGAATTTGAATCTCATTTACAATTTTGTGTTATATGCGATGGCTATAAGGTGCCTCGATCACATCATTGTTCACGGTGTGGTAGATGCGTCATGAAAATGGATCATCACTGTCGTAAGTTTGCACATCATTTTCAAGTAATATATCATAAATTTACATCTGGTGCAGCCTATTTGATCATATCGAATTGGTTAACTGAACTGAAGAAAGGTTCATGTTTTCTTCGTATTCGGTTTCAACTGTAAACTAAACATTAAGAGAAATTGTTCGTCACAAATTTCGTTTCATTTTATATTAAATCTTTTCTGATTTTGTTTTCTTTCAGCATGGATAAACAACTGTGTTGGTCATCGAAATCACGCATATTTTGTTCGTTTCTTAGCCATGTCTGTTGTCGGCTGCACTCATGCCGCGTTGATAATCTCGTTCGCACTTTATCGTGGCATATTCAGGGTTTGTTTTTTAAATGGTGATGATGAAAATCGCTGGATTCTAAAATAGAATGTCCATTCTTGAAATGTAATTGTTTCTTCTGGTATGGAAAAAATTTAATGAAAATTTTGGTGACTGAATTGGTGAGCAGGTCTTATCGTTAATTAGATTATTAATTAGTAAGTACGAGTGTTTGTTTGTGGTACGTCGTAATGAATGATGTATTGTGTGAAGAGGTATGATAAGTTTTGATACACATTTGAGAGTATTTTGTTGCTTCGATCATAGTTTGTTTGGTCGGAAATGATAAAGTAATTGATAGGTTTTGGTAGAGATGTGATAAGGTGTGTGATATTGAAATATGCAGATATGGTTCATTCAACACGGTGTTTACGATGGACCAGAAGTGTTGTTAACGATTTATACGTTCATACTGTCGGTGTTTGCGTTTGGACTTGCACTTGGCGTTATTGTGGCCGTTGGTTTCCTACTGATCGTACAGTTGAGAAGCATTCATCGAAATCGTACGGGTATCGAGGATTATATTTGTAAGTAATGAGTGAATCTGTTTTTTTTGTAAATGGCCATTCTTACTTAAGTTTAATTCGTTCAATCGTACAGATTAGTGCAAGTAAGTTCAGCAATCATTCAAGAATATGGATGGTTCTAAATGAGGCAGTCAATTGAGTTCCATGTATAATCGGGTTTGTTCATATGTGTGTTCGGAGAGTGATGATTTTTTTCTCTTCAGTGGATAAAGCGAACAGTTATGAACGTAAAATAATCTTCTTGTATCCGTACGATCTTGGATGGAAACGAAATTTCCGTGAAGTGCTCGGCACATGGGATGGATTGCCGAAGACGAATGGAGTATGGTGGCCGGTCAGAAGACCAACAACACAGTTCACGTTTTCAGTAAGTTTCTGGAGTGATCGTTGCTGCCTTGGTTTGATATGCTGCGTCACAATGTGGCATTAAAAACATTTATTAAGCATGTATTGTTTCATCGTTCTAGTTGATATCTTTTTTATTTTTGAAGGAGGAACAGTTGACGCAGAAACGTCTGAAACGGCTGAATGCTCGTGAAGTTCGGATCGTGCGTCCGTTCGAAGGGACTTGCCTGTCGACAATACTGATCGGTGTTCGTGTCTTTTTGTGTCAGCCGTGCAGCGATGAGGAGAGAATAGCGGTTAAGGTCAGTTGGTCGGGTGGAGAGAGGATCGCATTAATTATTTTATGAAAGCAACGGTTGTTTAATAGTGTGAAGAATCGAAAGATGAACTCATTTGAATTTCTGTTCATTTTTGAATGGTTACAGGCATCCAGAAACGATTGGTTTTTAGATTTAGAGACTGATTTATATTCATTAAATGTCTTGATGGGTTAAATGGTTCTGTGATTGTATATTAATAAAATGTAATTATCTTTTGAGAAGTAGGGAATACTGATTGTGAGGAAAGCATCTCGGGTCAGTTACAATTTTGTTGTATCATTTTTTGTGTGTTCTAGGTTGGCGAACATTGGATGGTAACGCGAGTGAATAAGTACTGGTTTTATGCTACTAAGAAAGAGGCCAAAGGTATTGCGAAACCGGAAGAATCAGTGCGATCATCAGCATCTGAATCTTCAGAAACGTTCAGTTTATCTGCGTCAACGGTTCCAAATCATCTCCATCATCCGCATTATAGACCACCGAGAGGATGGTTTCCGAGGGTATGCGCCGAGCAGGTAGAATGCGAATGAGAATTAATTGATTTTGGCTTGTTTTTGTGCAGCTTGACTTTGATTTCTGATTCAATTGCTTCCTCTACTCACTTACATTTGAGAATTTGGTTGTTATTGCTAATCAGTGTGATATATGTTGTACTGTATTTAATGAATGTGCATATAATATGCTAATATCTCTCACGATATTTATTCCATGTACTGTATGATTGTGTATAATATGAAGTTTTTATAACATTAATTTCGCTTAATTTGGTAATGCAGTATATAATTGTGATGTTGTCTGTTTCTTTTTTTGTTTTTGATTTATTGATGGCTATTATATGAACGATCGTTGTGGTTTTTAAGAGAAATTTGCTTGTTGCTGAAGAAATTGACTTATTGTTATTATAGTGGAACAGGTCAGTTGATGTGTTGTGATAGGTGATAACATAGTGATAAGATCATTGTGAGCTTCTTTTTGTTGTTGTTTGACTGATGCAGATATGAGTGTGATATATCCGTCATGATCAATTATGTATCATAGTTTCGTGATGTTCTCTTCTGATCGTTTTCGTTGTTAATCACAGATTTGTTAATGTTGCAGTGAAGTAGTGCTTGTAATCATTGTTTATTTTCGTGTATTTATTTGAAATTGTGGAATTGTTCGAAGATATTTGAGGAGTGCGACAATTCATTCGCGTTTTTTTCAAAACCAGATTTGAGTAGGTGGACTTAGGAATTTGTTCCGGGGAAATGGAGAATAGTGAGGATGTCTCATATGTGTAACATGAGGTCTGACTAGGTACTGAAGTGTTTTTTCGTTCAACTTAAATCTGGTATCCTTAAATGTATGTCTTGAGTGGTTTGCCCACTCAAACATAGAATGAATATTTGAAGTTTTATGGAAATCGTCGCAAGGTTTTAAGGTTGAGTACAGATTGAACCTACTTACGATTAGAATATTTGTGAAAGATTCGTTCGTGCGGTAGTTGCTTGTTATTTGAAGTAATAACTGTGCTATTTATTAGTATTATTATGCATTTCTTTAATTCCATATGCCAGTAATCCATTGTAAATTTATTGTTCATAAATAAATCTGTTGAAAAAGTCAAATTGTGGTTTTTTCATAAAGTTTCTCGCGTATCATTTCAAAATTAAAAGGGAATGTGTTTGGATTTGAAAGAGTCATGCATGATTCATAATCGTCACGTTTAGAATGTAAGGTAAGAGCATAATAAATCTTTTGGGCTGAACAATTAATGATTTCATATCGCAGTGCAGAAAACAATGTGAATTGAATATGATGAAGTGCGAGAAGAATTTGAATCAGTACATTCATATGCGATATATTAATCGTAATAATGGAATTGATGTGTGGACAGAAAAACTTCGGAAATCAGAGAAACTAATCAAATTCAGTAATGAACACATACTTACTTACATGTCAATTAATCAGTGGATAGCTATGTTGCATGCATTTGTTTTATCTGAAATCCCACATCGTTATCATTCACAGCTTTGAGCTTCAACAGATTTTGATTAGAGAGAATCCTTGTTGAAGTAGCTGGGAAGGGACCTTCAAATTTGATCCACTGTTCGGTATGCTTGAGTTTTTTGATCA